ATATATGTATATATATATTTTTTAGTGCTTTATATTATCTTGACCACACAAACATGCTTTATTTTTAAATAAATCAATATACTATAAAAACACATTTACCAACTAAACTATAAAAACAGCATATATAAATTCAAAGTGGTACATGAAAATATTTTAATATATTTATGAATCTGATTACTTCACTAATAAATACCACAAACATATACATTTTTAATGTGTAATAAATTATTGTTGAAACACAGTATTTTCATAATGGACAATTAAACTTTTGTAAACATAAATAAAAAATCTACTTACTTGGATTAGGTGGTGGTAGGCCTGGTATAAAAGGCTGCTGAGGTGGTTGGGTGTTATTAGATGAAGTGGGTTGAGCAGGTGGATGATGCTGAATAGTTTGGTTCATTTCCCCATCAACATCCATTGCAGATCCTACTGCTCCAGCTGCTGCACTTCCTCCACCACCAACTGAATACTCATCTTTGACCAATCTACCACCTGGTCCTACGCCTACTCCTGACTGTAGAGTCAGCCCAGATAGGTCTGTAAAGAACGGGTCTGTGCGGGGAAACCAACCCATTCCATCATACACCAAGGCCACAACAATAAATCATTTACACTTATGGTGCTACAAATGAATTCACAGAAGCTTTGCAAAGAAACAATGCAATGAAAAGAACATCGATTGAAGCACATGATCTCTCTATGAAAACAAGTAAAAGATATGTTTCATAACACATACCTATGCCAGGAGATACAACCCTCTCATAGTGATATGGATTTACACATACAGAATCACATTTTAAGTCAAAAGCAAACTGGCAGTACTTGACGTGTTTCAATTCATTCTTGTGCAAATCTGGCCATCTCCAGATTCGTGCATAAATAACATGTGGAAAACCTTTACGACCAGCAACTTGTAGCCTGCCATCCAGAGTTCTTTGTATTGTGACACATTTTTTTCAAAAAAAAAAAAAAAAAAAAAGAAGGATTACATTGTAGTTAAGGGGATTGAATTTCTTCTTCATGAAATAAATTCCCTCACAGAATAATGCTTACTTTAAGCTTTTTAACCAAAGATTCAATGGCTCTTTTACTGAACCCTTCACTTTCACCACCTTGACGATGACACATGAGAGAATGTACTATGCTTAAACAAGCATCTGCACTAGTCGGAGCACTAGGAGCGATTCCTGTCATTTCTCTCACTATAAATAAGCATTTATATTGAATAATATAGATGTATACGTACTGTAACGAAAAAATACTAAAATTTGAAATATATACAGAAAGTAACATTATTAGAACTTACATTCTGGATTAGGTTGCATTGGGGGCGAGGGATACAGATGACCTCCCCCGCCCGCCAATCCAACCATCTCTGTGAAAGCCGTGGCGAATACCGTTCCAATTCTTCGATTGAGACACTATTCTTATCCTTAGCTTCGACGTGTTCAAGTTTTTATGATTTACCATCTAGCAACGATCTGTTAGCCATGTGTCGCAGACGTGGATTCGCTGAAAGTGAGAAATAGTTAAATGAATCGAATGTAAGCAGTTATAAAATATTAACAGGCACTGAACACACCTTATCGGTTGACGAACTAATATAAGTCGGGAATACACGAAATAACCTTAATCGAATCACTTTACGATGACGTACCGTGAACTGACAGTTACTTCGAGTAGGACGCTGCTAGTTTTTTTCGGAGGTTAGATTGAATCGTTGCGACATCAGTAGGACCTGGTAGAACCGCACTTATCTCTAGTATCTAAATGCACAATTCGCAAAGCGACTAAAGCGCCAGACTATACCGCGCAAGTTTTCAATGTTCGCGTCCAGTTCTCTCTCATCTATCCACGAATTGTACCAAATATTCCTATATAAACTATATCGTTTCAAGTTTCATCTATGTTTACTAATCTACGACATATCTCAAACAAGGTACCCCATGAATGAAGTAAAACAGGATGAAGATTAAAAAGTTTTCACCCTTTAGGGGGCGGCGGGCGAGGAGAGGGGATGTTTATTAAAATCTACCTGCATCTTTTCTACTACTTTCATTCTCCTCTTCACTTTCAACCTGTTCTTAGGACTCGGCGTTACTATGGATCCAAGTGCTTGTCCATTGATTAAAACAGCTTTTAATAATTTATGCAAATATTGATAAAATTGTTCTTTTATCACAGACGCTCCAACGGATACGTGTAGTTTAATTTTGATTACGTGCCCAAAAATTAAGAAAGAATAAATAAACCGCTATTTATTATATTAAAATCGATATCGTAATAAATATAAATGCGAATAGATTTTGCATCTCTTTATTAAATTACATTTCACAGATCAGGTATTTAATAGTTTCGCTAAAATAACACAAAGGAGTATTACGAATTTCAAAATAGAATATACAATGTACTTTTTAACGAAAAAAATTTTAACCAAAAATGAACGTAGCTAATCTACCATTTAAATATAAAACTACGTACGACTTATTCAATATAAAACGCAAAGTATTCAACAGGGGGTGTAACTCAGTGGTAGAGTGTCTGCTTCGCATGCTGAAAGTCCTGGGTTCAAATCCCAGCTCCTCCAATCATTCTTTTTTTTCTTTTAACATTCAAGTTTTGTCGTGAAGGGTACTTTTAATACATAAAATAATTACAAGTACATGGTAAAAATCACATTGGGATACGCACAAAAAAAAGGGGGGGAAAAACATTTACATTCAAGCATTGTCTACAAAATTTCATTCTGGGTAGGAAATCCATGATTAGGGAGGTAGATGTACGTCCCGACCCATTGATAAGCACTTGAGCAGCAGGAGATACGGTAATTTCTAACCCAACCTAATCACTCCTGCGGCACTAGTACTTAGGAACAGGACAGGATTTATGTCCAATTTATCGTAGTCCTGTCATCGATAGCCATAGAATCATCCCTTCGATCATAGAACGATGCTTTAGCCCTGCAAATCATCACGCCAAAAAAAAATTAATCGTTCAAATTCCTCGTAAATGAGAAATCTTCTAGAGGAACTATTGATTAAAATTTCCAAAATTAAAAAAGTCTGAGAGAGAATGAAACACGATTAATAGACAAACAGACCAAAGGAGATAGATCTTAATATAACATGCCCACATTTTGCTATAATTTAGCACGAGATTAGATAATCGGTAGAAGAATACGGTAGCCCATAGATATTGCGTGACACATTCACTGCGTGCACGCTGTAATCGTTTTACGAAACGGATAGAAGTCCTAAGTCAATTAAGTTAGCCTATTTATGAGATGCGAGTTACTAATAGACATACTCTTCTCTGTTACACTTTCTTCGAATAGTTTCATTCGATTTACTCATCTTTCCGCCTCTATAATTAGGAACAATTGAAATGAAAAAATTTGTTTAAAAGAAAGAAAAAAACTCATTATCGTAATATAGCTAGGCAGCAGAAGTGATAGTGATAGTGATGGAGTTATTACGAAGCGGTACCTATAGTAAGACATACGTCATAATTTTAGTCCGGACGTGGTACCGTACACTATATACCGTACACACTATGATGATGCGATGACACACAGTGGTACTCATTGAAGCGACCTCGAGAAGTCATTAAAGTCGCCCACTATCGTAGCCTCTTTGTTCTTCTTTCTTCCACCATGTTCCTCTCTCCGAGAAATTTAGAGCTTCACGCAGCATCTGTGGTCCCCGCAACGAAACCTGTTGCTTCTCTCACGAAAATTTCAACGTCTGTCATACCTCGACTCAGTCTACTTCGTCCATGTGTCCACATACTTACATACAAAATCGTGTGTACATCAAAAACAGCCCTCCGTCGATATCGTAGAACCGAGTAACTACTGTTGACAGTTTCGGTTAACGCGTCCTTGTTGCTATTTAGACATCTTGGCCGTTAGATTTTCCAAGATCCGCTGGTCAGTTATGTTGTAAAAATAGAATAATACATTTATCAGCGTGAATGTTGAAAAGAGTTCAGTTAGGTTGAACGTTCGGCGAATTTCAAGGAATAAACGTGACTTATCTAAGTTAGACGAGGCGAAGAAACGAAGAATCGGGTGTTCAGGAATAATATCGCGTACGGAAATGCGTGCGCGCGAGATAGAGAGGGAGCCCTACAATCGAATCTTTGATTTCTTCGCCCCGCGTCGCTGCTTATAAACGCTTCTCGTCTCATCAAACACCGTATTCATCGTTCGCCTTAATGCTACCAGTTCAGACTTGCTTAAGCACGATTTTTCCCCATCGAGACTTCTTCTTCGAAACTTCCGATCAACAGACGTGTTCACACGTTACTAAAACCTCGAATCTATTAATCGTACCATCAGCGCCACGGTTAACGTGTGTACGTACATAGGGTTCGTTCAGGAGAAATACGTTAAAAAATGCAAAGCTGGCATAAGCTTAAAGAGGATTATCCAGAAGATGTTGTGGCTTCAGCTGGACGCGTGGCCAGCTTCTGCTACGCATGTTGCGCACGCAACGTCGCTGCTGCTGCATACTTTCGGCGGATCGTTTTTTCGAGACATGTCGACTCGTGTGAAAAAGTTGGACGAAAAAGCACGACAGACTTTCGGAAGGAGAGATATGGTAAAATATATAATACGGCTATGCAAAGATGTGCAGAGGTCGTAGAAAAGGGGGAAGACGCGAGAGATTGACTCGAGAGCAGAGGGGGACTACAGAAAAATGGGGGAGAGAAGAGAGCCGGAGAGTATACCAATTAACGCTAATTTCTGTTAATGCCGGCTCTCCCTCTGGGTGTTCGTGAAATAGCTCGTCAACTTATTAGGCTACGATGCGCAAATTGTGGGTGGATGACAGAGACAGTAACAGAGAAGGAATTCCGCGAAGCAAATAGGAGAAACATTTCTCTCTCCCCCCCAACCCCCACTTCGGAACAGTACTGGAGAAAAATCGACTATAGACCGCTTTATATTCTACGAGGTTACTCTGTAAAAATTCGCGGAGCGTTCGAGAACCGTGGCCTCTGTGTTCCTACCGCGAACCGAAAGTGTTCTATTTTAAGAGGCTGCGAGAGTTTCGAATCAAGATAGAGGTAAATAGTTTACGATTTTTCCGCTCGCTACAAACTTTCGATGCACAAACATATTGGATCACTGCCGCGGAACGAGAAAAGAAGCGTGCAGGAAGTAGCGTATAAAAATTTAATCGGATCAGAGAGACTGGTGACTGGGAGAGTATAGAGAACTCTCTCTGTTTGTCGATATTTCTTTTCTACGAGCTTGAACGACTTTCTTCCACGGATATTCTTCTCCCTCTCGGTAGTTGTGTACTATCGTTCCGAGCCAGGGGTCAAAAAGTCGCCAAGATACAGGCGAGCCACGCATTGCGTACTGTTATATTTTCATGAATAACAAAATGTCGTCGTTGTCTGGCTGCAATTGTTACTACCGTTCGGACATGACGAAATCTCGAACACATTCTCGCTTGTTTTTCCGCGTGGTTCGTTCGCGGTACGTTTATCGTTTCAACGATGATCACGCGGTGGATGGAATCGCGTCGGTTTCCTCCTTTTTCCACGCCTTTTCTCGAGACTTCGACACGTTTCACCGGGGTGTCAGGTTGGAACGATACTTTTGACCGTGCGGTCACATGTGATCTCTCGTTTCATATGTTGTAAGTCGAGCATGGAAAACATATTCTCACGGGACGTTGGAAGTCTCGAGAGGAAAGTCTTAGGATCTCTCGTTAGGATTTCTAGTTTCTGTTTAAACAATTGAACGAAAGATAAGACTGTCCGATTGTCTGGAAGAATTTTTGTTAGATTAAGAGAGAGATTAAGGGAGAGCGTTCTTCGTGAAATGTTGTATTAATAGAGCAGTGTGCTTATCGGTGAGGTGACTAGTGGTTAGGAGAGTTAATCTTGTTTGCGTGATCGTGAACATATTTACCAGGAAAATAAGAATAATGTTTCTCTTATGTATAACTAACGTATTACAAACAACCGGATCCGTATGACGCTGGAGGATTTCCTATATAGAACCACGTGATCGATGTTATTTGAAAGCGTTTACGAACGAAATTGATGTTCACGGCCTTAAGCTGTAAATATACAATATTTTACCAGTACTCGGTGGCTCTTTGTCTATTTTCAAATGTCTTTCACGACGCTAACAGTTATTGGACTTTGATTTTTGAAAATATGTATAGGCGTTACTTGAATCGTGTCCGGTTTGACCGAACAATCGAAGGAAATCTCATGACCTTTAACTTCTATAGGACACTAATGCCCATTGATGCACATTCTTCCGCACTTATTAATGTAATAACACGGTGTGCTTAATTCTCCGGAATAAGCCCATTCTTCCAACGATGGTCGAACAGTATCGTCCAGATCTTTTTTTGCAACACTACACTGCCTTTTCGAAACGAAGATTCCGAAGAAAGTATGTAATCATCGAACTAGCCAGCCGTGTCTCGATCGATCAGTGAAAATGTTGATGACGAGAGAAATGCACGGTAATCACAAGAAACGTGATCTCAAGGGATCGAAATACGAACCGCCACTGGGAATGAATGAGCTTTATCATACGTATGAAACGCATATCGAAAAGTGTATTTCGTTTCAATATTTCTTCACGTGCTTCCCTTTGTACCCTTACACATTTCTTCGAATGATCATCGTTAACGATAAATTTCTTTGAATTTAACAAACTTCGATTCGTAATAATTCAAACGAGCAATTTCAAACGTTCGCGAAGATGCGCCACGTAAAAAAAAGACTGTATGCATAAATCTGCGAACGTAACGTGAAACACTGAACGATTATTAAGAACTAACAAACGTGACGACGTGTAAAGAACGCTAGAAACGTTCAATTTTTTTTCTCTTTCCCACGCTATTCGTTTGTTTCACGAGTTAGAATCGTATTAGAAAAGAAAACACTCGCACGACACACGCGGCCCGAACGTAGACCGACGACTGAGCGATAAACTGTTCTTGATTGGCTTAATATAGTCGGACGAGCGCTGTAATTGGCCGCTCCTTGCCGCGCGGGAAATGATTGGTCAATTTAATCCTAGAAGCACGGTGCATTAAGCATTCAACCAGCGTTCAGTACCTATTAACGGTTCGCAAGAGAGGCACTGCTACTGCCACCGCCATCGTTTTCTGCGTTGTGTGTGACGACGGTACACCCAGTCACGGTGGCGGTGTATGGCTCTTTCTTTATCGTCTTCTCTACATACTATAACCCCCAAACCTCTCACCCCGTACAATCACGTCTCTCTCTCCCTCTTCTGCTTTTTTTCTCTCTTGCCATCGTTCCAAATCAATTTACCAATTGAAATCAGTGCCGGACAGTGAAGAATCGCGCGTCACTGAATGGTCGGCCAACCGACCGGCAATATGCGTCTCCCCTGTGCCTGTCTTCCACCGCTTGTTATCAAACCATTCACCAGCTTGACCAAATCCTTATTGCCTTGCCTTGGCGCACGATTTGAATCGCGCGGCTCACGATACGACTCGTCCGCTAGTTCTCTCTATGCCAGTGTCTTTCAACCTTCACTTACCGATTGAATTACTCTACTTGTCGAGATACCATTCGATATGGAACCAATGAGAACCGGAAATGGCTCTCTGCCGCGCAAATGAATGCGCAGTGAGAATCTCGATGAAGAATAAAACTACGATCGAAATTAAATATACGTATGAATCTGACAGGATAGATATTTATTTAGGAGTTGAGGGAGGAATCAGTTGTATTAAATTTTGCTTTCTTACGGTTTACTTTCTGATTTGGAACGATATATTTCGAAAGGACTGCTTGAATCATATGACATTTTATGACAAGTAATTCCATCTACTTAAAAATACAATAAACAAAAAATTTATAACAAAATCTAAATTACAACGCTAAAAGAACAATTATGGATAATATAAATAATTTATTTTGTACATGTTCGTAGAATTAAAAAAGTATATATATCCCTGAAACAACTTTGGTTTGATACCCATGGTACTTCAGTTGAGAATCGCGGGCCTGGATGATGAAGCCTGATTGGTCGAGAGATTCCCTTCCGGTTCAGTGAGTATTTTCGGAGGTGAGATTTCCCGCGCCACTCTTAATCGTTTTCCGGACATATTTTACTTTTATAAGTGGAATAAGTGGTTTTATAGTTAGAGTGTATCGTTTTATTTCGTGTTAGTGACTCGTTTAGCAATTGTGACATGTTTAGAAGCTTGTCACGAAGCATACGTAGAGAAAAATGCTTTTGGAGTTGCAAGGGTTATCACGTGCAAGCTTCCGAGAACCCAGAGTATCGTTGAACGTTAATTCAACGATTCGTGAGTACCAAATCGTGTGAAAAATTTATTATCTGTTTCTCTTTTTTCGAAATATCAAAGAAATATTCCGTAATACCGCTATTCGTTACGAATCCATCGTAGATATTGCTCGTCTGTGTGAAAAGTAATCGTGCCAAAGTGAATTTCTAAATCATCACCTACGGCACTACTACTTAGCACACAGATTAGTAAATTAAAGTGGCGTGGCAGCTTTTCTCTACTTCTTCTGTCCACGGCCACAATTGCCTGTCGACTGCGTTATGCGAAATGCAGGCCCAAATATATACCTCGAGGAGGGATTAAAGTTCAAATTTTCTATGGTCATTAGTCAAACGATTTCTCTTATCGCGTTTTACTCAATTTTCCTTCCTTCGATCGTATCGTTAAACTTCGAACGTGAATAAACGTTATTCATTCGCCGTAGAAAAATGATCCGTTAATAGTGCAGTTGTTCGATTTATCGATGGAGTTGGCGTTTAGCGAGACACCTGACGAGAAGATAGCTTAATTTGCGAACGTAGCAATGAGCACGTCATTTGTCTGCCCATTGTTACGGTCACAAATCGAAATATCTTCGTACACGAGATCGATCGATCAATGTTTTCTTCGTTTGATCTGCAAAAGAAAAACAAAAATAGAATATTTTTCAACAATTTACAAACAGTCTATATACGACTAACGTATGTATTTACATACCTCGTTCTCGCAACATTATTTTGAATATTATCGCTTATGTAAAGTACAGGAAAGCAGTCCAAACGTGTTTCAAACAGATTTATCAGTCGGTATACAATAGTTGGTGACCGCGTGAATCATCGTTGGTTAGAAGTTTTTTTGGTTGTTTTCCACGAGTACATGTAGTGGTTGGGAATCGTGTCGTTAGCTGAGCAAATAATAATTGGTCGAAGGACCGTGCAAATTGACGAAGAATGACGGTAGTCATACAGAGAGTTTAATGGAGGAAAAGGACAGCTCGCTGATTAATGCGTGCACGCGGTGTGCCCCTATGCCACCGAATGCGCTCCTCCTGCTTGCACGACCGTCAGCTTGCACTTATTGTTAGAAATAGTTTGGTCATTTCGTTGATAATCGTCGAAGCTTACGTGTATATCTAGATAGATCCACGCTCGATTTTTCTCATGCGGGTCCATTTTACTGATTTAAAGTAACCTACATACGTAACGTGCGCGTACCACCTTTTATTAGGATACAATCCCTGTTACGTGCTCTTTTCTTACGCGGATCCTATGGATCCATTGTGCATCGATTAGGCTTGTTTCGAGCCTCGTCAGATTTAAATGAAACTTCAATCAATTTAAACTTAATTCTTCTTTTCGCTTTCTTCATATTTAACAAGTATATACATACATTTATCTAAGAAAGTAACACTCATTTTTTTTTGGTAAAAATTAAACGCGTTAATGTTGCATCACTAACGTTCAAACGATCACATATGTTTTTCGTCAAGCACATTAATACTTATCGTTTAAAGATCTTTCTGGTTTTTTTTTTCGAAGAACACTTACCTTCATCCGATAATACTCAGTTTGAATTCGATTTTTCGAGAAATTTCTTTACCCTCGATACACTTAAATAGAATAACTATCACTGTTTCGTAGCTAGTCAATACCTATATGGCAGCGGTTTAAGCTGGAATGAGAATGCCATCGGAAATACAGTTCGCAGCGTACAGAAGTCACACGTGCACAGGTGTTTTCTGAGATCACGTGTGCCACATATGTAATTCAGTAACTGAGCAATGATATCGCTTCTCTGCTCGCGAAGAATAGATGCATGTTTTGCTCGTCTTCCACCGATATAGAAGTTTCAAATGAAAGTAGTCGTTCTGACACAGGTATAACGTTCGTTAAAATTCTAATCTAAGGATTGTTCCTTGATAACGTTCACATGTGGTACACACGTGTTTAAATGTAAAAAAAAAAAGAACGATCGATGGAAATGTAAATTTGAATTATCACGTTGGGCGAAGATTGAAGGTTTGAGTGAAATTTAGTGAATTTTCCGTGGATTTCCAGGGAAATTCATGATTGAACGAGGGAATGGCCCCGGCCGAGTAATTTAGAAGAGTTTATTAAATTGGGTAGAATGCTGTGCGTAGGCCTACGCCGGATACTCGGAGAATGAATCTCATCCAACGAGAGGAAGTTCGAATTAACTCGAGCCACTGCCAAGGGGGTACGGCAGAACCCCATATACTATGAACTCTTGTCCCATTTATTCTTTGCACATTTTCTGCGTCACGTATCGCACGGGGAATCGTCCTTTCGACAAAACTCTTCCTTTTTCGAACATTTCTCGTGAAAAGTACGAAGGAAAAAAAGATTCGTTCGACGTTGATGAAATTTACGGGATAATAAAAGTTCAAAAGTGCACGAATGTAGTAGAGAATTAAGACTTATTAGAATCATTTGACCCTGCTTCTTATAGAGTACTAAGACTTTGATGAGTTTATTTTATCCCGGATAGGTGGGGAGGGCGATGGAAAGGAGAGGAAAGATCGTATCGCCGAATCGATGAAGAAGGAAAGACAGAAAAGTATGTCGTGCATCGTGTTACTTGAATTGTAGTACTTTGACACTACGATCAAGTCCTGCCAGCAGTCGATCTGCGTGGGTGGGTTACACGAAAGGAATAAAAGAACGGAGATATAATTAGTCTTAAGATAGATCGTTTCTTGTTCGGCGTAATATTCGGTTGTTTAAAAATTTTATTCGTGGAATGTGCACATGTATTTGAAATATACAATTTTTACAACACAATAAATACAGCACGACGTAATACTACCAAAGACTGTACAGTACATCAGTCGAGATAAGATTATTACCTATATCTATAAGATTGGTCATAATTTGCTCGTTCAGCCTCTTTCACAAATTATATCGACCACACTTGGCTCCATTAGAACTGGTTCTAAACATCTATGTACAGCACTACCAAGTATTTCATCCAGTAAGAAATGAACGACGCTGTAAAAGAATGTTTTTTTTTTTTTTTAAAAGAATTATTATCAATTATACTCTAATAGTAATTATTAACGAATATATGGAATTAACGAAGTAACGATTAACACAGAAACTTACTTCTCGTCTGATACAAATCTCCATAGATAGAGTTGCAAATAATGAGTGTCCACTTGAATTTGTTGCAGCCCGTATTTACTGAACGTTCGTAATCTGACGTATTCCAGGAAGGTCTACGAGAACAAAGAACGAAATGGTTGTCGTATAGGTTTTAGATAAAACGTCGATTCATGATAGTACATATTGAAGGTACAAAGTATGTTGCGTAGTATGTGGTATACGCAACGCGAGAGAATAAGGTATCCTCGCGATGCAAAGTGGATAATGATTGTGCTATTTTATCATTGTAACTGGTCGACAGCACCTGTCTCTATTGCTGTACCGTGTCTGCTAAAAGTATTTTACCTTTAAACTTATTTTGATGATCCCGGTAAGAATAGAGGCTTTGTTGAATTGAACCGATGAGAAAATTTCGATGCGCTCTGAGAATAATTTATGAATATTCGTCACCAACGACGAATCTATATGATTAGGCATGTACGACGACCAGCTGGATCTATAGTGATGTCTCGATACACTGACGCTGGAAAAAATAGTAGATTGTTCAGAGAGGACGATGATTTGATATTTGTAAAATATCGTACCTGTGGGTTCTTCTACTGCTGTCGCTGCTTCTGTCGACTTGACCGTCAGTGTCGTCGTATAAAGCAGCGACTTGAGTATCGATTAGCGTCACATGTTCTACGACCATCTTCATTGCTACTCTAACTGTCCTTGGTTCGTTCGTGCTCAACCAGTCTCTCGTTTCGACAGATTTCCCTAACATCTGCGACACGGACAAGCCTTGAATACGCACGTAATAGTTCAATAAATTTTGCGCCGCTTCTTGGAACTTGTCGCATATCTCTGACTTGGACGTAACCACGTTTCCAGACGACGTGTACTGTTCGATATTGAATAGCTCGTCGGTGATATTTAGCTGCAAATTCAGACGTGATAATTTGTTGAAAATATTTGTTTAAATATTATTTTCAAATTCTTCTTCCTACCAAATATTTCACATTAGCTTCTTTATACTCGATGCACATTTTGCTCAGTAAAAGTAGGAGAGTAGAGTACTTCGAGACCTCTGGTCCGATACAGAATCCATTTGCAATGACAATTATATGATGAAGAAATCCAACGACTAATCCTTCCCTAACTTCATCCACACAAAAGTTTTGGAGAAATTCCGTTTGCACATTGAACGACAAACGTCGTTGTATGAATACCTAAAATGACATTATTTTATATCAATCAGCGTAACGAATTGTTACGGTGTCAGTATGGAGATTAAAAAACAAACCAATAAGTCTTGTAAAACACCTTTAACTTTTTCAATAATAGGCATTATAAGCAATGCCTGAAGTTCTGGCATCTCTTTTATTCTACCATCATTACTGTCCCTTTCTTGAGAATTTTTCGGATTCAATATTTGTTTCACTTTAACAAGTATTTCGTTTAAGTGAGACTTTAAACTGTCCAAATGATTCCGACATTGTTTTCTGCCAGCGTTAATAACGATATCGGTACTTGTCCTAATACATAAAAATATGTATATCAGTATATATTTTTCTTTACCAAAACATCTTATTTTTATATTACCTTGCAAAATCTGTTCCTTTGCACAATACATTCATAGCCTGTATTTTTCTGTGGAATTTGTCTAATGCTTTTACCAACACATCTGTATCAGCCACATTCTCTACTCTTTTTCCCATAAGATCGAAATACTTTTTCATATTTTTCATGATAAAAGTGTTCAAACGCGGAAGAGCTATCGTGTCAAAGTCGTCTGGAAATTCGTTTTCTTCCGATGGTGGTCTATTTATGAACATTTCGTAGTAAGATGCAACAATCAGGCACAAATCGCTAAGAAATCCTGAACTGGCCATATCTACAAATTCTATGATATCATTTGTAGACATATCTTCCAAAATTTCTAGCTGGGTAGCTAGCTTTCCATCTGCATGTGTTAAAAATTCGGCGCACAGAGATTCAGCTGGTTCTTTCAGCTGTAACAGGAGTTCTACATTTTCAGCTAAGGATGCAGCTGGTGTATTTTTTTCGTGAAAATGCATCCTCAACCTTGATTTAAGTTCCTCTACAATATCCTCACAGTCTTTTTGTATTCCTTGAAAGGAAGGCATATTACCATACTGATTTAATACACGTTGTGCATGAATATAATCATCTACTGCCTAGAAAAGTTAGGAATATTTATTTAACCCAGTACAATTAAATGTAGAAATCGAGTGAAATTGTATAGCATTTAATAATGTGAAATATGATAGTCACCTGTCCATAATTCTCTTCGTTTATTTTATCTTTAAGATTACCAGGCAACTTGAAGAGAAATTGTAACTTTTTCAATAAAGCATGAACAGAGGATAATTTAGAAATTTGCTGCCTAGTACCCTGCAATGTTGATGAAATCTGTTCTGAAAAAGTAGTAATACTATCCATGTTTTTTGCCAGTAAATCCATACTATCTTCCATTTCTTTAAAATCAGTTTTCATCTAAATGGTACATGAGCAATTTACATACATCAAAGGGTTAAATAACAATTGCACTTATACAGCTGTAAAACAATTTTACCTTTCTGATAGTGTCAGTAGCAGATATAAATTTATTATAATTTTCATATACTAAAGTTTGCATATCAGAATTCAATATTTGGGTATTTTTTATGATTTCTGCTTCATGATCCATAATTTGTTTCAATGTGCATTCCTGTGGAAGGAACAAATATTGATTTTCTACTGTCAAATTAATGTAAAATATAATAAAAATAGAAAGATATACTTACTTTCAATAGTTTTTGGAAATACATATCAGGGTTGAAGTGCTGCCCATTAATATCATATGGATTATTAGAATTCTCTGCCATTTCGTATATTTTTCTATTGCAACAGAAATATTTTGACAGTAGAGCTGTTCGTTAGGTTAGCCAAGTGTATTACGAAGTTAGAAATTCAATTTACAAAAGGTTAGGTGAAAGACGCTGTATCGAGCAACATAACCTCTCGTAAAGCTTAAGAAAAGTGCAACAAGTGCAATAACGTGTAAAAAAAGTGAATTATTCGTAAGAAAAAATGTTTCGTGAATGTATAATTTAAACTGTTGAACTTTCTTAACATCGCTGCACTTTATGGAAAGGTTTAATATTTAAGATATATGTAGGATCGAAAAAAAGAATGAAGGGGTTATTGTATCTTATCGTTGAATTTTATTGTTCAAACATTATCAAATTACATCGTATACAAAAGGACTATGAGAAAATTATTTAACTTTGAATCATTCGAGAAGTGTACAAGCCACAATAGTCAGAAAAGTTCTGATTTGGATTTAACATTTTTCACGAACCTGTGACAAGATGAGACTGTCTACTTGACGAAGGTATAAGGATAAAGAATAATTCGAAAAATGCCACATCCGTGTGTCGTATGCGGTCGTTCGCGTATGAATCCAAATAATAGGGAGGAAGAGTACATGTTTTTTGGATTTCCCGTTAACGACGAAGCTCGATGCAGAAAGTGGTTGGAATTTTGTTGTCGCGAAGATTTGTATAAACTTACAAAGAAACAGTTGCTTCAACGAATGGTGTGCTCTAAACACTTCGAGCAAAAGGATTTTTTAAACGAATATCTCGACAGATTAAATTACACCGCAGTACCTTCAATTTATGATCCCAAACAAAGTTTATATAACATAACCTGTGTACTGTGTGGTCGTTCTCGTCGAGATCCACCAGGTTTAGATTACGATGGTGCGACCTTTCATCATTTTCCTGGTGAAGAATTCCGATGTCTTAAATGGCTCGATTTCGTTGGTGTAGATTCATATTACAGACTGACAAGAAAAGAGATTTTATTTTGTTATATCTGTTCGAAACATTTTGATTGTTCTCAATTTATGCCTGGTTATAAAAGCAGATTGGTTGACAATGCTGTTCCCAACATCAGGAATCCTGATCAATTGGATGGATCTGAGCAATATATTATGGAATATGTAACTGAGCCAAAACTATATAATTCTTCTGAGAAATTTAAAAAGTTAGAACCTCTACCACCAGCTGTGTTAGAAAGTCAAGCATGTGCTGCTTGTGGTAGATCAAGATCTGACCCAAGAAACAAAATAGAGAGATATAAGTTTCACCCTTTTCCTGCCTATGAAATAGGGAGGTGTTTGAGATGGTGTCAATTTTTGGGTAGAGAGGATTTATTGAAAATGTCTCCAAATCAAATAAGAAAGTTAGTGCTTTGTTCGAAACATTTCCAAACAGGACAAAGTTTTCATAAAGTAGGACCATGTGATGCAGTCCCAACTATAAAGGATGTGTCACAATTAAACACTGTCAATTCAACAGAACAAATTGAAGATGAGCAGGATATATTAGAAGAATCTAATTGTACTAATACAACTAAGGGAATTAAAAAACAAGGTTTCTCAAGACCTTTAGTATCTAGTAAAAAACCAAAGGTAGATAATAAGCCTACACCTCTTGCAAAGAAACGTGGAAAATCTAAAAGGCCAACTCTTATTAACATTCCAAGGCCTGATCCTAATAACATTGAAAATCGTGTGATAAGAAAATTACCACTTCCTCCTACTTCTAATTGGAAATTCCAAATTACAGAACAGTTTCAACCCATAACAATAGCAAATAATATTACATCAAATATTACAAATAATATCCAAGGTAACATAAAGAAGGTGATTCTACCATTTGCTGGTGACATATCAAATTTAGGTGCTCCTATTCCAGTGCATAGTTTATCCAGCATTCCCCCAGGTTTATTAATTAAAATAGATCTTCCTGAGCAAGAGCAACAAAAGCCAGTGAAAAGTAATAAGAAGTATACAAGAACAAAAATAATACATACTCCTACTACCTCTAATGAAATTGATCCATTACTTCAATTGAAAAATGGTCAGATGTCGGTTACACTGCCAGTACTAAAGCAGGAAAAACAAGAATCAGATAAAAATATTGTTGAATTTTTATCAATTCCTCCAGATGAAACAGAGGCTAAAATGACTACAGAAGAGATGGAGGTACATGAAGAAGTAATTTTGCCACATACATTGGAAGTGTTAGACGAAGAAGTAGCTAATGTAAAAGAAGATCAGTTTTACCAAGACTTTGAAGAAGTGGAATGTTTATCACAAAAACCACAAAAATCTGTGAAACGTAAAAAGGTATCAGGAACAATGAGAAGAACAATTTTTCCTATTAGAAGTGAAGTGAAATATTTTTTGCGCAAATTGGCACCTCACATGCATAGACTTCCTAAAAAAACTAGAGCACAGATAAAACTCTCAATTGTTAATATGGTAATTGATCACTTGTAAATTTACTAAAATATAAATAAATAAATAAAATACATTATTTTTATTATATATTTATAACATGATGGTGATAGGCATGATAATAATAGATTAAAGCAACAAAAAATTTTGTAGAGTACAAATGATATTTGTAGTAACTTCCTCAAACATTTTTATGTTATTTGTTTTTATGATTGTTGAAATGTACATTTTTAAATGGAAGAGATATTACGCTATTTCAAAAATTTATGAAAACTTAACATTTTCTTTTGAAAATTAAGTGAAGATAATTAATATTAAAAAGAAAAGTTTTTAATAGGGAGAAATCATAATTTTACTGTGTAATTTATGCAAATACATTTGTATTTATATGTATGTACATGCACAAGGTACATACATATATGTATACATGTATGGGTAGAGGTATAATTATGTTGCAAAAGAAATATGTAAAAAGATTTATTGTATAATAAAATTTTGTGAAAAAACATTGAAATATAAAATGAAAATGATATAAATATGTATACTTTTTAATCAATTTGAATGTTTTTCTACTCATTTACCAAATACATTTTTATGTTTATTTATTACAAATTTTAGTGGAATTAAATCTGATAAAATAGGTATCCACATTTTGTCTACATTACAAGGATTAATATCTGTTTTTTCTTCAGGATAAAGAAGCATTGGTTTCGAAAAATCTTCATTAAAATTCAAACGATTTTTTCTCCACAATATTTTTGCCGAAGCAATTGGTTCTAATACAAATTGGAAAAGTCAAAATTTGTTTATCTTTATCGTATAATCATTCTCGCTCACCTACGTTCATTTTGGGCAGTAAATAGTTTTCTGTACCAACACTATAAAAGATAAATTTGTTTCCTATTTCCTGGTATTCTGCACACTTGCATAATATGCCAAGAGGGTGGTCTTCACAAATATCCAATTTAGGGTGCATAGTTTCTTATGGAATATTGTAATTTTGTGATTTAGAATAAGCTGTTATCAAAATACTGAAGTTGAATACATCTGAACTGAGCAATTTTGAAACCAAATATGTACAAGGGATAAAATATTAATATAAAAATTCTTATTATATGTATCTAACAATGAAAGGTAAAGAGAAAGTGCAGTACATAGTAACAATCAAAATCATTGTTTATATATAATACATACTAATACAAGATTTTCGTATAATCGTAATTAAATTAAACATTGTATATCATTTCAACATAATATAATCAAGAAGCCAGCTTCTTTGTATTTATGACCTTTACATATAGTCAAAATATAGTAGTATTCTACAAACCACATACAGATTATCAAAGCTGGATACAAAATCTTATATAGATAAAATAAAAAATTTGGTTTTTCTTTTTATAATACTCAATTTTTTTTTTTGTTTATTTAATATAAAAGCGTTACTTAAATATTATTGAGAAAAATTATTGAAGTATGATAGGCATTCATTCCATTGTGTTGGTATCTTATCTTATATATATAAGTACCATGGTCAATAAGTGCAAGCTAATTTTAAAGCTAATGCCAAGGAATTATTTACATATTGCACCTAACTACGAAGACTCTGTAGTCTCATTTTCATTTCTTCAAGTTCCTTATCATCTACTTCTTCACCACCTTCTTCTTCTTCTTCCACAGATGTAGATGCCACAACAGATCCTGGTGTATCTGTGACAACTGCAGGTGCTACACCTAATTTGTCTGCAGTTACCTCACATAAGATCTATAATATATATTAAATATTTTGTCAGTATACCGTTCATGTTTTCTAACCATGCTCAGATACATATATTTCCTATAATTTACTTTGTCTATTTCCTCATTTGCTTCATCTTCTTCATCTTCAGACTCATTAATAGACTCCATAGTTTCGTCTAACATTTCTTCAATAATTCCAGCTTTCATCATTTCTTTGGATAACTCTCTCATTGTTGCAGCCACTTCAGGTACCCTTATTAACGATTGCATCGCTTGCATTACTTCTGTGGATTTTGAGACTGATCCAGCAACTCTAATTGTTGCTAACTGATTTTTCATTTGCAACGAAATTGAGTTCATCTGTGTTTTGGTAATACAAATTTTGTTGCAAGCTTTACGTGCACGTACTATCTCCTTTGCTAGAATTTTACAGACATCCTTATCACCTTTTTGTACTGCATCTTTTAAAGAACGTTTTAGTTTCATTTCTTCCCGTTGAATTGCTGTACATAAATATCATTATTTCCATTACACTGTATGCTATAATATGATGTTGACTGTAGAGGCTTACCTCTAACCTGTCTATCCAACTGATAACTCTCCTTCCTTAATTTATTTCTCCATTCTTGAACCTGAAATACGATTCCTTAGAGATATTGTACAATAATTAAAATCTATTTCGATTCTAACCATTTCTTTTGGGTTCTTTTCCTGAGATTTGCCAAATAAGCCCATTTTTATAACCTAAACCTTTCTCAGTGGTTTGAGTCACAAACTATTCAAGGTAACCATTGCCATTACGTCATTGGTATATTTCGTCACCGATCTCTTTTCTCGATAATACTATAAATAGTGAAGATTACGAATTGATGATAAAAAAAAAAACTGCATACAAAAATATTCACTAAGATAACGAAGTGTTAACGTATCATTCTTAAGATTTTTATCTTGCTTTAAAAAAATAAATTGGAACAAACAGTCTCGTAAGTTTTCATAAGTCATTTATTTATTTTACATTTATGCTACGCAGGCTAGTTAAAAAAAAAAAACAACATTAATATAATAGAATATAAAAAAGTATTAAAAGGTATCGTAAAGGTAACGTAATATAAAAAGGTATCTATCACTCAGAACGTCTGTTCAAGATTATGTCCCTTAACCAGATCAGCACATTTTTCATAATTTCCACCCGTTTGTCCACGTTTTCATCGATGTTACGCTGATATCGATGCGTTTTAAAGTTTCTCTCATTTTCCACCCGATCCTCGTAACTTGTTGCGTCCTCCTTCCGATACTGATCGTTGTTTACCTTTCTCTTTCTCGTAATAGGTTTACCGTTTTCCGAAATCCCGTGAACGGCGTATAAATTACGGGAGGGATCGATGTCACCGTTGTTCTCCTCTTTATTTCGAAAATTTCCCGACCGATCTCTCACGTCCTCATCAATCTTTCCCCTAGCCTCGTCGAAATTCCACGGAGTTTGCACTTTCTCCAACTTCAGAGACAGATTGTATCTTCTCGCGAAAGTTTCCACGGGCATCGAGAAAATCTGTAAGCTGTCGTCAGCTGAATCACATTTTCCTCGTTCGTTCGGTGAAATTGATCTCCTCGATTCCCGTTTCGAAATTCTTTTCCCTCCTCTCCTCTCGATTCTCCTCCTCCTATCATTAGCATTTCTCCCATCGGAATTCCTTTTCACTGTACCGACAACGTTACCATTTACAGGCACGCAACAAGGGCACTCCTTGTTTAATAGATGTTCACAGACTTTCCTGGAGATCGATAAAGCATAAGAACCGTCCTCCAATTTTCTTATCTCCAACGGTAGCTTTACACCGTCGCCAGTGTAAAACAGTTCGGAATTTCGAAGATTCTGCACCTCGTCCGTGTTGTTCTTATTTTCTAGAGAAATTTTCCCCAAGTACGTATAGCCCTGTTCATCTGTCGAGATTTCCGGATCCGTACTCGTATTTTCCATTCCTACCAACGTGTCTGTATTCTTCTCGCCTATATTGTTCACATTTATCGTCGAAGGACTGTATTCTACGTAAGTGTAATCCTCGACTTCTACGGTCGAAGATTCATCCCGATTCGCTGGAGTGGCAGCCACAATGTTGGTCAAACTTTCCGTAGAGATCGGGTCATGTCTTCGTACTTGTTCAAGTTCTTCCATGTTTAACGTTGTTGATTCCAATTCTGGGATTGCAACTGTTTTTATACCCTTCGGTACTTGGTTTCCTTTCGAAAGTTGTACCGCGGCCTGGTTTGTCTCCACGATTGGATAAATGGTAGTTTCCTGAAAGTATTCCGAGGGCAGAGACTCCCTCGTTGCTCCTACCAGATCACGATCCAAAGATGATACAGTACTTGAAATTGTATTTAAAGTCGAGGATTCTTCCTTATCTCCATCTTCAGCTTCGCTTTTTGCAATGTCCAAAAGTTTGTTCATGTCGATATTCGACATGTCTACATCATCAGTCTTTGTAGTCGAATCTTGGACACTTTCCGTCGTCGTATCTTCCTTACCTTCCATCTCCATCATACTCAACTCATTGTCCAAAGTGCTCTGAATAACGGAATCATCGAGACCTTCACCGTTGCCTTCATTTTCCGGCTTGAAATTATGTTTAACACTTTGAACGATCATGTTCTGAACAGCAGGGTTTTTAGCAGCCTGCAGACTCACAGCTGGATCTCTCAGAAGACTTTTAACGTTATTCTGCAATTTTTCCGTATCAGTTGGAACAGGTGTTTCCTCGTTAATCGGAGGTTCCAGTGTAACCGTATTAGTCACCCATTTTCCATTTTTTTTTTAGTCGGTGACTCGAGTTCCGACTTGGAACTAGGCGCAGCAGCCATCGCGTGATGCAGATTATTCCTAATTACATCGGTGGCCCAATCGTTGTCGAAATTCTTTCTGGCAACTCCGGTTAACGTCGACACGAGGTCCTTCACCTTATCCACGACCGTGTTCTCTATCTGAGGCATGGACAAAATGCCCTTCAAGTTCGGAACTCCGACAATTTCCGTCAGTAAATCTTCACCCTTCGCGGCACCGACCGTTTCCTCGTCCGTTTCACCCGAGTCACCGGTGGCAAACTTATTAATTACCGATTTGATCGATTTCTGAAGGAGCGTGTTATCGCAGAACGGCAAAGATCCATCGTTCGTCCCCTCACCGCCGTTTACTTTCGATGACTCGAACGTCGACCCGATAGTAGAAGAATCGTCCCCATTTTCATTGTGAATCGTCGTCGTCACTTGCCCCATACCAACCCTCTCATTGTCCGTATTTACGAGATCCTCGCCAATTGTCGTATAATCGTCGGGATGTATTGTCTCTTCCGTCATAGAATCGCTAACTGGACCACCCTCTTCGTTCATTTTTTCTCCAGACCTATCGGATCCGAAATTCTCCGTCGCGTAATCGGTCCATAATGGACCAGCATTATCTTTCCTTTCCGGCGATTCAGTCGCGTAATCTGCTGCAGAAAATTCGCCGCTCGATCGAGCATCTTTATCATTCATCTCCATCGACGTGCCTTCGTCCGGGGACCTCGTTGCTCCCAGAATTAATTCGGTTGTTTCCTCCATAGCAGGAGCTTCTTTCAACTCGTAATTGTCTTCTTGTGTATTCTTTAGATTCGATCCTGTACTTTCGTTTATATCCTCGTTTTTTGGCTCTTCTTCGCTCGAATATGGATTGCTTTCTCCTACTAAAACGTTCCTCTCGTCTTCGTTGTTTAACGTTTTCGCTGGTTCTATCGAATTCTCCGTAGGAACGTTCGATCGACTTTCCAGATCGTCGTACTGATTCTCGTCAGGACTCGCATATTCGGTGCTGGTTATATGAAAATCGTCGTAACCTGTGGGACCGCTGTGGCCAGCCTCGTTGGTATAAGCTTTCGACGTGAAGTATGCGGTCGTAACTTCCTTGATGTCCGAGTAATCCACCGTTCCACTGTCAGTCGTTTCGTATTCATTCGTATATTCCTCCCCTAAGTCTGTAGACGATTTTTCCTCGGTCTCTGCTGGATTAGCTGCTTGAACATTAGGTACTTCAGTAGGTAATTCAACATTCTCAGAAGGTTCCGAATGTACAGATTGCAAATTGTAATCAGAGCCGGTGGAATCTTCTTCGTTGTTACCTGGACTGTTTTCTGTTGCAACTGGTTTTGCAAACGTTGTAGCAATGATTCTTTCAGTAGGTTGAGGCAAACTCTGACCAACAATGTTTGGAGGACACGGAGTTTGCTCAACAGTTTGTTGATTTTTACCGATATTTTGCTGTTGGTCAATCGGTGCGCGTTGCCCAACCATTAAATCAGGTCTACGACCAATTGGATTATACGGAGCGTGAATTCTCGGTGGTATTCCTTTAGGAATCGCGTGTGCAACCGTGGGAACCTTAGGATGATGGACGTATGGAATGTGCGGCAACTGTTTAGGGTATAAATGTTTAGGAATATAAGTTTTAGGAACATGAGGAATATGAGGAACACGAGGAACATGAGGAATAGGGCGAGGAGGAGGAGGGTGATACAATGGCGGTGGTATTTTCCTAGGTATGACCGGTGGATGATGAATAATAGGAGGAATTGGCTTAGGTATTGGTTTTATACGATGCCTGCTCCCCACGAGCATCTTTTTATCGTCGTTCTTCTTCCCTGCTTTATGTTTCTTCGGTTGTGGTTTCGACACAACGTTTTTCTGCTTCACAGCAGGCTGATGCTTCTCTCTGCAGTAACAGACGAATTTACCATCGTCGAATACATTGGTCTTCGGCGCCAAACTCCCACGAGTTGCGCCCACTTTGGGATCGTTGGGTCTGAGCTGTTTTCGAAGGGAATCTATAATAATTCCATCACGAAACGTGGCATTTTTCGCTCTCTCTATTGCTGTGGCTGGTGATACGGGTTTCTTCGCACTCGTGGGATTTTTTAAACCGACCAGAGGTTCTGTCTCTCCTTCGCCGTTGAGAGGATTCTCTGTATTTGGTTCTAAATTTGTGGACATTGGAGAGCCAACTGTTTCGCCGAGAATTGGTGTATCGCATCGTTTCGTTTTTTGGCTTTTACATCCTGTATCTTCCTCTTGCTTCGTTGGCACTGAAATTACTAGCTCTCTTTTGGTATTCAATTTTGGATCGGACTCTGATTCCTCGTGAATTGGCAGGAAGTCTTGGGGAGTAGCACTATGGCTGAAAAGATGAAGAAATTTTATTATATCTCCATGTATTTTAGAAGAGACTAAGCAGAAAGGAGAAAAAGGAAATTATCTCGTGTCAAGAAAAGAGAGAATGGTTTAACGCGTAATTTAGCAACTGAACTGATTATTAATGAAAAATTAAACGTTACTGAAAGAAGAGTAAAAGAATTAGGTACGTCTTCGTGTTGAAAGATTAATTACTTCAGGTAAAAGACAAGCGCTGCTAGTTTCTTACGCGATATCGACCCTAACGAAAAAGAAACAGCGTTACAAAAATTATTTAAATATTAAGTTTCAAGTTTGAACGGTCGTGCAATGTTGCTTTGTTTTTACAAGTCTGTTTTCAACGGAAGCGGGAATAGAAAAACCAGTTGTAAATACGCTCGACTTCGCGGTATCAGCTACTAGAGTACAAGGACAAGTCGTAAGGATAAAAGGAGTGAACAAGGTGATTTCGAATCAGTGTTGCTTCGGTCGTGGTCGTGTTAACATATCTAAATAATAGAATCGAAATACAAGGTGGAATTTTACAGTGCAGAGTGAAGTGATTAATGTGACTGTGCTATCATTTCTCGTGGATTTGAAGCATTCAACACGGAGCCGCTGGAGATTCTTCTCGGTGAGTAATAATTATTTACACATTTCGAAATCGAATAAAGAGAAGAAATGTTAAAATTCTTCCAAGATATCAAATAAAACGTTCGAATTAATAGAAAGGAAATATCGCGATATCCCCTGATTTATTCCACGGTTCGCACACGTGGACATAATTTACGGTTATTCGAGGCTTTCTTGCGAATTTCAAATCTTATCTGTGACCAGCGAAATGTAATTTAAGCATAGCTGACGCTAACAGTTGCGCCAGGCCACGACTAACATACTTTTGCATCTGCAATCCGGCCCCGGACCCGGTAATCCGGAATTCGTCCAAGGAAGGAGCTCGTTTGAAAAATCGAAAGAATGTTCCGATGTACTCGGTGGAAAGCTAGATAAATGGTACAGGATAAGGAGAATTTATGAGGGAGTGGCGGGTCGTGCAGTATGGGGTGCTGAAATATATTCTCGAAAAAATTTGTTGAATTATCTTTCGTAAATATGATAGTCGCATTCCCTTGCCACACAATCTTAGCCAGCTTCTCTCGAGAAACGACAAATTTCACAGAATTTCCAAACTCCCTCGAGAATCGTTTAAATCAATTTCAATTATACACTCCATACTTGGAATATGCAAATTAAATTCACCTGGTAGTAACGGTCCATTCGACGTCTTCATCGTCTTTAGTTCTTGAGCTCTTCGAACAGGTGGTCGCGACGAGGGTAAAAATGATGGAGCACTCGTGGTCACATGTATCGCGATGTCTTGTTGTCTCGAAGTGAACTGTAGAAAAATCGATGGCCAACTGCCGCTCGATGCATATATTCGTGAAAAATTGCACACATGTTTTGATGTTTTTGCATTACAAAATTCTGTGGCGTCAGGCAATCTCGTGACGCAACCTGCGCGTACTCGATTGTTACATATTTTACGATATCTGGAACAGCAACAAATGATGTAAATGAAAATAACATTACACGAATTGTGATATACCGGGGTTGGGTGTGTGTGTGTTATTATATACGACGCTTTTATTGGGAATTGCATTTCGTGCAATTCAAATGATTCTTGCCAAATTTCCCGGCACTGCTCTAATGGTTTATGGAAGAGTTGCAAATCGGACGCGTTTTACGTTTGGAACCGGGGAATAGGTGGATTGATTTCCATATTCATCGAGGGCATACGTATTTTTCAGTATTGTTTATTTGCTTAGAAAATACAAAAAATGATGGTAAAAAAAGATCGCGTGTATCGTGTATTTTTATAAATTATCGATAGAAAACATTTCGTCGCTGGACGTTATCCTCGAAGAAGATGCGTGATTCCACCGAGAAGCATGAAAAACTTCCTCACGTTCGCTACTGCGTTGTGAAACACATTTTGCGTAGGACCTATCCGTTTAGTATCGGTCGAATTCCTCTGTTGATCAGTTAGCGACTGATTATACTTCTCGTCCAAATTCTCGATCAATTTTTCCACCGAACCGGTCAAATTTTCAGCTCTTTTCAAACTATCAACAACGACGTTTCTCAGTGTCGGTATACTCTTCTCTATAAGACCTGGCAATCCCTCGTCCTTCTTTTTCTTCTTCCTTATATTCTTCTTTCTGTTAATATCCTCCTTCGTCGTGAACTTTTCCAGCGGGATCTTCTGAATCAGCGATTTTTCGATATCGTCAATAGGGCTGAATGTTGGAATCCTCGGGCTCGAAGATCTTGTTAAACTTTGCAGCTCCGACACTTGCACCTTCGAGAAGAAGATATATTTTACGTGAAATAAAATTACCATTTTGTTTTTCCTCTAACTCACCTTTTCAGAATTACCGGTGTCGTCGATTTTCTCTTCAATCTCCGCTTCCCTGCGAATTCTCCTAACTTTGTCCGCCCACGGGAGCACCATTAGCACCTCAGGTTTTTCAGAAAGCAACACTTCTCTCAAATTCATCTTCTCGTTACTTCTTTCGACGCTCTCCTCCTCCTTCTCCTCCGTGCTCGAAACTTCCAACATGTTGGATGTATTCCCGTCTTCTCTGTACTCGGACGAAGAATCCTCGCTTTTCTCCACCTCTGATCCTCTTTCCACCGAGTCTGACGTGTCCCGGTATACGAATAGTTTCCCGTATGGATTTTTAACGCCAACAATTGGATTCACTTCCATCGACGAGTACTCGTCACTCGACACCGAAGGGATTACAATTTTCAGACGTTCAGGGAAATTTCGATATCTACTTTGTCTGCCTTCTCCTTCTCTAACAGGCACCGCTTCGTAGACTTCCCTTCCTTTCAGAATCTGAAACAACCTGGACGAATATTCCTCTGGATTTTTCTTCAAACGCAAATAATTACTTCGTCCACCGTCTTGTACCGCTCGCGACGGTTTACGTATCAAGAAAGACGGCAACCATTTTGAGTATTCCTCCTCCGACAGAGAGCTCGTATCTCTTCGTCTACGAGTATGTTCTATTTCCAATTTACCTGGACCTTCTTCCGAACGATCATTATCTGTGGCTTGTTCCTCAAGGACTGCTACTTGAGAAACGGTATCCGCCTCCACAGGTTGCGTTTCTTTTTCCAACCAAGCCTCTCGATAAGTTTCCCTCTGTTCAGTCGCCCCTTGTGTATCAAGTACCTCCGAAGATTCGTTTCCCTTCGAGTTTTCGTTGCTTCCAGAAATTTCCCTCTGCTCCTCCTCGATTCCCTTCGATTCTTCTTCCTCCTTTTCTCCTTCCTCTTCTTCTGTCTCCGCGGTAATAGAACGCATGAAATTCTGCTTCGTAACGCCCGATGTATTATTCTCTGTCAATTTTTTATAAAGTTCCTCGACAGTTTGCGTATCCAGGTTGTCGACTACGATTTTCAGAAACTCCTCGGGATCTCTCGGTAGATTTTCATCGCTGTCTTCGCGTTTATCCTCCTCCGTTTGACGAATTCTGTAAGCCTTGCGGTTAACAGGCTGGAGAACAATGTCGTAGGTATTTTTCGTGGCTGTCTTCGGATTAGCTCTGGATCTGTACGGTTCTCTGTACAAGTGAAGAACAGGCTCTCCTCCTTTGTACTCGGAAGGATCGATTATGTATATTTTCCTGTCCTCGGGGTGTTCGTCCGATTCTTCTTGATCTTCCTCGCTGGAATATCGAGCGGCCTTAAGAGTCTCGTGGTAAGGCCTCTCCAGGGGTTGATTGTACGTGTACTGGTAAAGATGTGCGCGCGGCGACGATGCCTGTCGAACGAATTAATTAAGCGAAAGAACGAAAGGATCTTAATGAAACGAAATGCCGAAGAAATTAGTTACCTGTACTATTCTTTTTTCCTCGTTCTCCGGCTGTTGCTGGTGGTAGTAGAGTATCCGTGGCCTCTCTGGATCTTCGACCAGCGCAAAGTAAGACTTATCCTTCCCCTTGTTAATTGCTTCTTCATTTTCGTACAGGTTACTTATTCCAATCATTTTCTGCCGTAATTTATCAGGACTCGGATGTTCTATCGTCGATTGACGAAAGTTGGACTGTTTTCTCGGATTGAACACTCTCTCCCTGATGTTGTGCGCTCTGACAATTTCCGTCGTCGGTACTTCCTTACTTTCGCGATATTTCGTCGGCTGGTACATTAAAACGTAGGCCAGTTTTTCTCGATCCACCATGTCTTTGTAATCGTCGCTCTTTTTTATCACTTCCCAAACTTCCCTTCTTTTCAACTTCCTCTTCCCTTCGTCCTCCACTTTCTCCACCATTTCGTGAACATCCTCGTTGTATCTCTGCAAAGTCATCTCCCTTTTACTCTTCAAATTTTCCTTTATCCTCTGAACCTGCGACGCTCGATTTTTTTGGTACTCGTCAGCTTTGTTAATCGACTTTCTCTTCGCGGCAGATTCCTTCGATTGTTGCTTCAGTTCACGGAATAATTCTCTCAAAGCTTTCAGTGTTTTCGCTCTTACGGAGAGCTGCGATTCTCGAGGTCTCTCCTCCTTCGATTTCGACTTTACTCGCTTTTTAGTTCGCGCAGGATCGCTCGACGATTCATCCTTCGCATCTTCGGCAATTAACGGTCGGTCAGTGGTGAGCATTTGTACTTTGGCCTGCCGTTTCGAGCTTGCACCGGCATTTCTCGTCTTACCGACGCTTTTCTCCGTTTCTTTGGCGATAGTCTGCTCCGATAGAGTGGCCGTTTCGTACGTGGTGCTCGAACTTTCTGGAGCCTGATCCTTCTCATGTTTGCCCTTGCTTTCCGCAAGCTTCCCAAGATCGAAGGGTGCAGAACTTTTCTGACCAGTCGAAGTATGCTTCCCAGTATCAGTCGTCGTTTCCTCTTTACTCTTCTTTCCCTTCTCGTCGCGAAAAAGCTGCTCTCCATCGCGTGGAATCGACGTTCTCAACATCTGATCTGAATCCTCGTTTTCTCTTAAATTCAACGTCGAATCTCGCTGATTTTCAGAACGATCTAATTCACTTTGCACCGGTGCCTTAGCACCACGAGCAATTTTAGGATTGGCAGCTTCGTCTCGAAGTTCTAGCCTCTCCACCGACATATCTCTCAGTTCTGAAAATACCTCCGCGTCTGCGTCGTCCTGTAAATTCGAACGAACCGTGTCTTTATGTAAATCCACGATTACTTCTTCCTTAGGTCCAGTTTTCAAGCTTTCTTCCGATTCCAAAGATTCGACAGCTTGCCTTCTCGCGTCACGAATGACTCTGCAATTGCAATCCTTCGAATTTGCAGCATCCTCGTTGATCATTTCTTGATCAAGTATCGCACGCAGGTCTTCGCTCTCTCGTTTAGCTTTCCTAGATCCAGGATGATCATCTATTATCGAAAAATCCAAACCTGTACCATAACCAGGCATTCTATCACTTGTCAATCCTAAATTTCCTCTATCGGCGTAATTAATCCTTCGAATCGAAGGTTGACTAGTCAAAACAGGTCTGAAATTCGTTCTGCCGTAACTATTCTCCTAGATCCAGGATGATCATCTATTATCGAAAAATCCAAACCTGTACCATAACCAGGCATTCTGTCACTTGTCAATCCTAAATTTCCTCTATCGGCGTAATTAATCCTTCGAATCGAAGGTTGACTAGTCAAAACAGGACTGAAATTCGTTCTGCCGTAACTATTCTTATTATTCGAGAAGCTAGCCGATTCGTAGTAAGGATCGACGCTAGGTTGAATTTCAGCGATCTCAAACGCTCTATCGTTTCCCCCAGATCCGTAGCCCTCCATCTCCCATAGTTCATCAGAGGCCTTTTCAATTCTACCGTTGGAAGTCTTAGAGTTTCCCATAAATTCCACGTTCCCGTAGAAAGGATAATCGCTCTCACCTTCGAACAGCACACGATCAACATTCGGTTGGTCCATCTCCGAACGTTTCCCTTGACGATTTCCATCCTCCCTCGCGTAATCGTAGTTCTCATTCCCCTGCGGAGAGTTCACCGTGGCGAAGAACACATCTCCTTTCGGGAAACCTTCCACTGGCTCCGTCTTGAAGAATCCGTAAAATGTGTTTTCGTTACTCTCGCTGTCCCCAAATTTCACCACGCTAGGCTCTACCACTTTCCTCGAGTTGTCCGTCCTTTCAATCTTTCCATCGACCCTTTGCCCTTTGACATCGTCCTCGTTCTTCGATCGTTTTCTTACCAGACTTTCCCTCTTCAGGTTCAAAGACTCCTCGTATAGATCCCTCTTGGACCTCTTTGATTTCTCGTCCGTTTCAGTCTCCGCCGAGTCGGAATTATCGAAATATTCGTGGTGGTTTACGCGGATTAAAAGATCGTAGAGAGCTTTCAGGTGGTCTCTGATATTAGCGGCGGATTTTTGTCTGGTTTCGTTGTCGGTTTCCTTTCTCACAGTTTCCAAAGCAGTCTGTATCTTTGACATTAGGGATATCAAATCACCGACCAGCTGGCTGATCGATTTTCTCAGCTCCGGCCTCGTTTCGCTTGATCTTGCCAGATTTTTAATCGCTAAAAGGTGCTCTTTGAATTCTTCAAGTTTACTTTCTAGGCTATTCTCAGACGAAGTTTCCACGTTCTTTGCACGATTGCTGATTTCTTCTTCGGTATTTGACAATTCTTTGATATTTAATAACGCTTTCTTCGCGTCGTAGTCGTGCAGGTTATCTCTTACGAATTTTTTCAGTTTTCTCAGCTCTCTGTTTAAATTCGATCTCTTGAATATTCTTCTCTGCTTCGTTTTCTCAGTTTTAGCGTTTGTCTGAGCTGGTACCGATCTGGTAACGTGAAATTTCAAGTTATCCGCTTTATTCAGATTTTCTGAAATTTGAACACTCGAAAGTGTCGCCCTTTTGGACCTTTCGTCACTTTCCATGCAAGATTTCACCTTTAAAAATTACACGATTATTGTTTTTCAAGCTAAATATGGAAATAGAAGGAGAGAAATTTGTTTTATTACCATTAAATTAGGGAATACCCAAAAACCAATGCCACCAGGCTGTAATTTAAGATACAAATCATTCTCATCTTGCAGAATCTTGGGATACATGTCCGGAACGGTGTTGTTGATCAAACTCAGCGATTTATTGTTCAATAAAACAGTCCTAGAATAAAACGGCGTGTAAAATCCTTCACTATCCTCGATTATTCAGAAAACTTACTCTGCAAACATTCTATTAGACGCGTCGAATCCTGGCGAAAGGATGTACTCGTGAATCGTGGTAATTTTCGTTCCCTCCAAACTGACGCTCGCGTCTTCAGGGCTCAAATTCACTCCAAAAATCACGACAGATCCCTTCTCGTACTTTTTAGAGGGTTTCGTACATTGACAATAGAAGTAAACATGATTGTCCTCGTTGGTCTTCATATTTACATCGAATACCTCCCTACCGACGAGAGTTTTGTGGAGCAAGGACACCCAGTAATCCTGCGAATTAATCATTGCGTCAATTTTCACCGATTTCTCACAACTGCTTCGCGAAACTTACTGGAGTTGGCTGAGTCAGGTCCACAGGTTGCCTCATCACCACGTTTATGTTTAATTTCGCCGCGTTTCCTAATCTCCTCGCTAAAACTAACGCTCCGATGTACAAATTCTTGCACTCCTCTGGCTTCGATTCAGCTACGGTGAAAAGAAGTCAATTATTCTACGCGTGTTTGAAAATTTTACTCGCGATTCTGTGTATTTGAACAATTTTTTACCAATCCACAGTGGTTGTTTCTTGACGAAACGGCCTATGACTTTCAGCAGATCCTCTTTATCGTCGTCTAAATTATCGTGGTGCACGAAGACTCCATCGTTGCCCAGAGTAATACTCGCAAAATCGCTGAAATAATTAAAAAAAAAATTTCCAAATACCGCGACTGATTTTTCTCGCAATTTTTCGTGTGTTTGTAATCGTTAAAAAATTTACGGATGCCACGTGATGGCGGAAAGCGCGGGAGCAGCGACGGAGAAGTAATCCTGAAGGTACTTCCGCTGTTTTTCACTTCTGTAACTCACTACATCCGGCCCAGTAACGATACTCTTGGAGTATCTAGGAAATTCGTTCAATAATTTTCTCAGGTTCACTGTCTGCTCTCCAAGATCGCTCGCCGATAAATTGCACCTGGTCTGACACTCTAAAAAACCAATCCCAAAGTAGATCCTCTAACTTGAGTAATTAAGCAGACATATTGTCGAACGAATTTACCATATCCTAGCTGCCAGTTCGTGTAGAAACCCATATGATCGCTGAAGGAAACGATCTCTCTCACATCTTCGGGCACCTCAGCTTTCTTATCGTCCGGCGCGATGCAAGCTATCACTTCTAGCCCCGTTTTCTCTATCCATTGATGGGTCAGAACCCAGTCAGACTCTAACATCCCCCCAAGAAAAAAGAAAATAACAGAAAAATTAAACAGTTATCACTGTTGAGACTTTCGGGTGTAAGCCAATTGTTCCAACGTTTCGCCAGCATTGCTAGATAACGAAAAATTAAAGCTAACCGAGCAATACAGCTATACTCTGTCCAATTTAAGAATAACCGAGAGCGTAGCAGAGGGTAAGACGGAGAGAAACGTAGGCGGTTAAGTGGGGGTTTGGACGTTCTAGCCTTAGGCAGGTCCCATGCGCGAAGCGAGGTTATTCCTAAATTGGACAGAGTGTAGAAGAAATTGAAAATGCCCTAGGAGAACCCTTTCTCTAATTACACGTTCTGCAGAGCCACTCGTTCATTTTCTCCGCCAAAGATGAAGAGTAGGAAATGCGAAAACGTATCCGTTGTCACAGTCGCCGAAGGTAGCGCGGATTCTCGTATTTCCTCCGTAACGTAAAATGCAGCGAATGTTAAATTACTGAGCTCGTTAGACAGAGGGCCGGCGTTGCCACCTTGGCGTGCAAGGTTTGCAGGTAATTAGCGGGAGTGACTGAAGTAACGCCAGGTAGAGTGGAAACACAGACCCTGTCGACAGCAATGCGCGTGTGTACAGGGTCCAGGCAGTTTCTCGTTTCTCCCTTCGCGATACACATCTCGCGTCTGCACCGTGGCCCATGCTGATGCACTCGTGCGCGAACCATTGTTTAGGTTAATTCAGCCAGTTTCTGCAACTGGCCGGCGCGTTGCATCGGCTGGGAAATTGGCCGAGGAAGGTGTGTAGTAACGCGTTTCGGCGTTAATGCAACTTTGGAGTGAACGGATGCATGCAGACCCTTTGTAGGCCACTGTCCGTTACATTGCCGCCTAAATTAACCGTGATAACGGTCGATGGAATAGACGGTGCGCGGTCAGTTTATCGCGATACATCGAAGAAGAATTTTGCGGTAGATTATACGCTGGGAATGGGATTAATTGCGCATTGTACCTAGCTTACCAGATAACACGATTTTTCTCTTCTTCTCGCTGTCTTGAGAATTCTGACTGGTGAAACAGTAAAGAGAGCTACGTGGTCCACCGAGTCGTACGTACGCAGGTGTAAGAGCTCTCGCCAAGTTTATGCTCTTCTCGAAATCCGTGCTGAAATAACCAGAACCGCGATTCCTATGTTAAACAGCCAATTATCCTAGACGATTCCATTTCACCGATATGTTACGATCAAGTTTTACAAGATTTCCTTTTTTACGCCACTCTCTCTACGTGCAGGTCTCGATATGTGCACATCTTCCGCTGTACGATCGATGGATAGCAGCAGGGAAAAAGGCGGTGGTTGAAATTCAAATTAAAACACGTGCACCGTTTCATTTCGCTTGGGCTAGATTGGATTGCGTTTCCGTTCAAAGGTTGCAATTCTATCGATTGCTTTTAAATTGATCTCGAATTGCTCCGCGCAGCCTTTCTTTCCTTACGAATCTTCCGCGATTCGTAAATTCGACGTGTCTACCTACCTCAGCGCACTTCCGGCCAGCAGGGTTACCGGATCAACGGTGAAGCTGAGGAACTTCTCGTCGGTCACTGCTACAGGTCTCTTCACGTTGACATTCAGCGATAACTCTTGCGTGGAAGAACGAACCGCGAGAACGTGCAGAACGAACGCGAAGAAATATCTCTGTACAGAGCGCGTCATTTTGCTACTTTTCGATCTTACTGGTATTCGAATCGACTCAACGAACTTTCCATTTCACGGTAATGGGACGATTGGAGAATATCTTCTTCTTCGGAACTTATCGCCTCAAGGTTTTTATTCGCACTGGCGATTGTTTCGGGAAAATAATACGCGACACTGATTGACAAGTAGCACGGAGTCATTTGACCGATTTCGAAATCACTATGTCGACGGGTTGCATAAAAAATTGGGAGTAGCGATTTGCACGCACAGCGGAATGCAACGATGGAATTGTCGGAATTCCAGCATCGTCGCGATAGAGTAAAATGATGTCAGGTTAATGCAACACTTGCTATAGATCATTGGCGAAGAGGAGTATCGGTAAATAAATAGACGACGAAGTTGGTAACACGTTTGACTTTTATTACATTTTTTTTCATTTTTGTTAGAACTAAATAACATAAACGCATATTCTGGTTAATTCACTTTTTGTGTTTATTTATTACTCGTAATATTACTATCGTATTAAGAGCTATAACGACGAGGCGCGCCCCTAAAAATCGTCTTCATGCTTTATCGTTTGTTTTGAATTCTTATATTCTTTTTTTTTTTTTTTTTTATTTTTTTCCGCATTTTCACCGCGATTTCTTCCGTTTTCCTTCTCTCCCGCCGTGAAAGCCAAAGGAGAAACGTCGTGAATCTCTCGTACAACGTAGGAAGAGGAAAAGCTCGATTATCCTTCTCTTTTTCGCCCTTCTTTTTGATTATATCCCCGCTTCGTTCAAGCTTCTAACTCCGATTCCTGGCTATTCCCTTTCGCCTTGACTCTCGTAACACCGGAATTGTCATCGATTACTCCGTCATAGCTACTTTTTCACACTTCCGTCGAGGAGGAGAGACGAGAGGTAACGCGTTCACTTGCAGAACAAGTCTCGTGTACCCTGACTCCTCTCTTCCTCGACTTTCGTTCTTCTTCCCTTCTTTTTCGTCGTTTCGAGGGTCAAGAGGAGGGACGAATAGAGAAAGTAGGACTCTATGCATTTTTTACCAAGAGCCGAGACCATGCCCAGGGGTGGGTTTCTACTCACGGGTACAGCTACGAAATTCGTGTGTCTTGTCGTGTCGTGTCGTGTCTCGTAAGTAGTTTCTGCCTCTGTGTTTGAGAAATGGCGATCTCACGATCGCCACCCGTATTTAGCACCTCTATTAACCTTTTATTTGGCACGGGCAAACGGGCGTTTTTCAAGTCCTTTGTTTGTCCTTTTTACAATTTTCCACGCGTCGATCTGACGAAACTTTTTTTTTTTTTTTGAAGCTCGATTTCGGAGCACTTTAGCCTCTGTCAAAGAAATTACGAAATTCTTTTTATAACTAAAAACAAACAGCTTTAAACAAAAAATCCGATATATTTTTATTCGAAGTAGTAAAAAAATTGTCTCTCGATATATTTTATATCTGTCTCTTGCCATTCGGTTCGCTAAATAAAGGGTTAATCTCTGTGTGCATAATTATGTTTATTGTATCTGTATGTTTATATGTTTGTGTGTGCGAAACAACAATATAATATTATCATCATCGACCCATCCGGCGTTACTTATTTGCCATTTTCAAACGTTACATTACTCTTTACGCTCAACAATCAAAATCATCATTCGCGTTCCAGCCACTATATATACGCACACTCTCTACATACTTCATACAAGAGATCTTTCGCTTCTTTTTTTATTTTTCCCCCTTTCCTCTGGTGTCGTTTTTCTACGTTAATTACTTTCTTTATCTACCGAGCAAGCTTCGTGCGATTTTTGGCCACTCGAAACACTCCCCTCACCTTTCTCCTCTTCTTTACGTTTATTTTTATTTTCGCATTTTTTGTTTCCTCCTCCTAACTTCTCTTACCGTGTGAATTCTACACGATTAACGATTACAATAATTATTGGTCGTTGCATGCAGCTAAAAACGCCTTGCGTCATCGAACGTCGAGATATAAAATTACACAGAGAGAGATCGATCTGTGAACAAATACGCGTCGCAGTCGCAGTCGCGTCTCGTAACTTCGAGCTCGAAGTTACACACAGCGGGTGAACGTGGTGTTTCTTATCATTTTTTTTTTTTTGGGGTTTTTTTTCCTTTTTTTCTTTTTATGTATTTTCGAGTGATCGTTGAGAGAAGGAACGCCGATCGTTTTTTTTTTTCTTCTTTTTTAACCTTCGCGTGTGTAAGTGTGTCGCACACCTTGGTTCTTAAATACATATACAGTGTCTGATGTGCGTGTGTGTAACGCGCGTTTTCGAATTTCCTCCCCCTTTTTATTTCGTGTGTGTGCTTCTTTCTCTTTCCTTGCTGTATAAGACACGTATAATAGTAGTAATTACAGGCATTTATAGTATTGCTTCTCGGTTCAACGAATTCACGAAGATAGAAATTTGCGACGTCGTAACACGATCGAACGCTGTCGCTCTCCACCGCCTCTTTTCTTTTTTCACCGTTTTCTCTCTAGAAACGCACAAGTCTCGATGCGCTACTTCAATTTCTAAACAAATTTCAGGTTCCCGGCGAGACCGCGATCCAATTTCACCCGTGTGTCGCCTCGTTTCAATTATTCAGACGCTTTTTACACTCGCGTCGCAAAATTGAAATTTCCTTTTCCGCCAAGGAGAATTTCAAAAGTACGAAGCAAAACGAGGTTTTCCCTTCTTTCTCCTATCGAAGAAGGTACGCTTCTTTCTGTGATTAGCGTCGCGTGAAAATTTTCACAGGATCGAACGACAGTGAACGAGCGTGCTCGTGAAACCCCTATCCAAAAAATCGCACAAGTCCGCTCGGAGATGTTGGTTACGCGAATCTCTCGTCGAAATGGCAGCTTCTTTGAGAAAAGAACTGTTTTTCTCTCACGTGTGTACCTGTGTGTGTTTGCGTGCGTCGTGTGTGCCTTTTCGCCACGTAACTTGCCAATTATCGTAGCTCTCCCTTTCTCTTCCCTGTTCTTCTTTGTTCTCTTTCCTTTTTTTCTTCTTCTTCGTTTCTTCAGCGTCGTCTTCACTGATTTTTTTTTTTTTTAAATTTTTCTTCATTTTTCTTCTTTAGTCGGTACTCTCTTGTATACAAAGCTAACGACTACTTACTTAACATCATGGTTATTCCTGTGTTTTTTGTTATTTTCTTTTTCTTAAATTTTCCACGAGTTCGTGAACGGTGTTCTCTTATCGTCTAACGTTTAACCAGGTTTTTTTCTGCCTTTTTAAATAACTTGTTGCAATGTTTTCGTACAGGTTTGTTTTTCTTTCTTTAAATTTACTCTTACTTTTTTTTAATTCTTTTTCGCTTTTTGTTGCGAACGTATTTTGAGAAACACACTAGACGATCGTCGTCGAGATCCTAAAACAATACGGTACGTCGGCTTTTTTTTACTCTTTGTTGCTTTCTCTAACGTTAAGTTTATCATTATTACTTTATAATGCGTTGTGTCGTTGTCTCTGAATAAGTCAGGTCGGTTTCTTTTCACGAGTCACGCTTGGTATCGTCGTTTGATCTCACCTGTCCTTCCCGAGAATTTCGGAGATAGATCCTCGTCGAGAAGAAGTTCTCGCGAAATTCCCGGGAAACACGGTCTCTCGCTTCTCGTCATCCGTTCATCTTCGTTCGCTTGACGCGGTTTTATACGTGGAACTAAACCACCTTGATGATATTTCCGGTTACGCTAAACGCAGGTCTGGATTACACGCGAGACACTATATACATGGAGAAAAGAACAATTTGTCGTAAAATCTTAACGGTTTCGGCGCATATCGTACCTAACGCGTTATTTATTTAATTACTTTTTCTTCTTTTTATAATATTTCTCCTTTAAACACTTGCTCGATAATGGAGTACCTAAGAAAGGTCCGTTAACTACATATCTTTTACATATTTACCCTGGACCGTTGTCTCGTTTCGACGTGTCTGTTGTATCAGGTTTGCAACATACATTCGTCCTGTTTTCTCTACTCGACAACGTCACGTCGCTTTTTCAACCTGTTTCCAACTTCACGCAGGCAAGTGTCGCGTGTCGTTAGATAGGCTAGATTGTATTACTTTAATTTTAGCAAAAGATTTTTGTTATCGGTGAGCCTGGAGTTTTGAACATGTCTCTTTTACTTCCGAAAAGGCAAAAATGCGTCCGAAAGGTGTAAAAAAGTATGTGTAGTATATATGGAGGCGATGCAGCGGATGACTCGACATGCCGGACGAGATTTGGAAAATTTTGATGTTAAAGATGCGCCTCGTGCCGGGCGGTCTGTCACCACTGACGTCGATAAAAATCAAAATTTCCTTTCTGAAATTTTCCAAATCTCTTCCGGCATGTGGAGTCGTCCGCTGCATTGGCTCCATATACCGTACAAATTTTTTTTACTCGTTTCTGACGCATTTCTGCCTTTTCGGAAGTAAAAGAGGCATGTTTAAAACTCCCAGGCTCACCGATAAGAAAAATCTTTCGGTAAAATTAGACACTTGCCTGCGTGAAGTTGGAAACAGGTTAAAAAAGCGACGTTACAACCTGATACTTTTCCAAGGAGTCTCGCTGTTCACCGTAATTTATCGCGATTCACAATGTCCCTTCAATTTTCGTCGTTCCACGAGGAGGACACGTCGGAACCAGACACAAGTCGCGAATTTCCTCACTCTTTTCCCCCTTTTCGCTCACATATTTTTCCCCTTATTTATTTCCATCACGATTACAGTCTATGAAACACGAATTTTTTTTTAAGTAGATTTATGATTACTCGTTTATATCACTTGCCACGTGCCGCGTACAGGCTTAGGGTGGCTTCAAAGGGTTGAAGGATCGCGAAGGATAGCCGGCGATAAGTCGCCGAAGAGGATCGTTTGATTTTTTTCAAGGAGTGCAAAGTGTAGGCTTGAAATATAATACTTGTTTGGTAGGGTGATTGAAGGAGATCGAGGATAGACAGAAAAGAATAAAAGGAATCAGAGAACAAGAGAAAGTCTCTCGAGAGTGTGATTTCACGCGATTTCATTATTTT